TGATCAAGTGGTCGACTGTCTCGTCTTTCTCATTACAGAGGCGACATTTGCTGTTGGTTATTATTCAAGTCAGGTACATTTAGAATTTTCAAATAGCGAGGTAGCCCTTTAGGTATTGCTCCAAGGGTACCAATTACAATTGGGAGAACACATGATTTCTTTTTCCACAGTCGCTCAACTTCAATTATTATTATTAGTAGTAGTAGTAATAATATTATTTAATAATATTTTGAAATAACCTAAATATAATACCCAAGAGAACAGGTTTCATTGGAATAGTTTCAGTGGGGTAGGAAAAGTTTAGTTACCTCTGCTCTTATGTTACCCGAAGCATTCAAAGCAGCCTTTGGAGCTGTCTTTTGCTCATTTGCAGAAATCTTGGGATCAAATTCTGATTTCGTCATTTTCCCTTTCCTTTGTGAAGAAATATTTTCTGTATGCTGACCTACAAGGCTATAAAATATGTAAAAATTTAAAACAAAGATTTCCAGCTATGTTTGTCATTAAAAATGTAATACATTACAATAAATTATTACATAAACATTAGTATATAAAATAGAAAAGTACAGAACTGCCACTAAGATACCATGACAAAAATAATTTCAATACTCACCCGTCTGGGGAAGTAACAAGCGAGGAAGGTTCACTCTGAGAATCAGTTTCAAGTGCCTCATTTATATCACAGTCAGATTCTGACTGTTCAACTTCAGTAGTGCTAACTATAAGGATATCAGCACTAGAATTTTCTATTGCACTGAAGAGAGGTGGAAACAAACCAAAGATTTAGAATGCAATTTAGACATAAATAAAAAACAAGATAGCAGTATAAAAATATGTCATCCCAATCTTGTGTGAAAATAATTAATACTTGTCTTGTTTTTAGATCTACATTTCAACTCAAATCCAAGATTTGAATGAGGTCTAAATGTTAGCAAGAAATATGTGCAAACTTCTATGTTTTCTAAATTCAAGTATTTGAAGAACTGGATGTGGTAGAAGAGAAGCAGCATGAAAAAGAGGAATCTAAACAAATGTTGAGTTTTTCATTGAAATACTGTATTTTTGGAGTATAAGACGCACCTTTCCCCCCATAAAAGTGGGTGAAAATTTAGGTGTGCCTTATAGACTGAATATGGGTGCTTTTCGCCTCCCGAACCCTCCCTGTGTCACTAATAACAAGAAAAAAATGATTCAAAGGGAAAAAAAGATGGGGGGAATGAAGCTTTGTGTTGATTTTTGTGTAATCAATGCCGTGTGCATGGAGAACACCTACCCTCCTCCCCCTCATGAAGGACAGGCTAAACCACTTGTCCAAGGGCAAGGTGTTCACCAAATTGGTTCTGTAGTTCATTTAAAGTTTTAAAATTTAAAAGTTTAAAAGTTTAAAAAATGAAATTTGAAAATCTCTCTTTTTTGTTGATGGAGGTATTGTTTCTATCTTCTCTGTTCTAGTAATTAACCCTATTTTTTAATCCTTTTTTCTGCCTTTTGTGCTCATTTTTCTATCTTGCTATTTATTTAACTTACTATTACGTTAGCTAGTTTTATTTATCCTTTTCTTCACTATATTTTTTTAAGTTTTAGAGTTCCAATTCCTCTCTACCTTCTCATTTATTTAAAATTTGACTTATTTAATTGATCTTTATTAATCCTGTTCTTCCTTGATTTCTAATGTTCCACTCTTATATTATTTGCATATTTATTTGTCTCTTATTTTCTGTTTTTTTGTCCTGTATTTATTTTTATTCTCTACTGGGGTCTTTCCTCTCTGCCTATTGGGATCTCAGGCTTAATTTGTTGCCTTCATTGCCGTCTTTTGCTATTCCAGTCACTTGTCATTTTCTCCACCAGCTCCATTCAGTCTTTTGGTACTCGGGTCTTTTTGGCCTCATCTCTGTTCTGATCAGTTCCTCTCGTCCTGTTGCTCCAGGTCCTTTGTCCTCTGCCTCAACAGGTAGCTCGGAAGGGCTGCCAGGCTGGCAGGAGACAGGGGGCTGCTGATCTCCCTGGAGAGGGAACACTGATCCTCTCCATCTGGGGCAGGTTGCTGGGGAGGGCTGCCTGGCTGGAAGGACACAGGGAGAGGACTGCAGTAGTCAGGCTGCCTCTATTTTGCTAGGCCCTGGGTCAGGATGCCTGGCTGCCCGCTCAAGCTGGGCTGCCTGGGTTGGAGTATGGGTCTAGGCAATTGCTAAATATACTGTAACCCACCAGTTCGCTGCCTCCAACAGCCTCCCTTCTTGTCCATCATTCACCTGCCAGTTTGCTGTTTCAGTTGCTTCTTTTCCACTGTTGGGCTCCTGAGCTGGATCTATTCTCTGTTGCCGGCTGCCTCTGATTCAGCGTGCAGCCATTCATTCACTGTGCTGCTGTTTTGCTGGTGTTTTCTTCCTTATTTCCAATTTCTTATAGAAATTTATCCTTTCTACCTTCTTTATCTAACTTTCTTTTTTTCTCCCTTCTTTTCCCCTCTCCTTATACTTCCCTTAACTTAGTAACTTCTCTCCCCACAATCTGATGCTGCTTCCTCCGCATATAGTATAGTATAACAGATATTGTATCATATCATGTATCATTTCATATCATATTTCAATAAGAAAGAGAATAGGATAAAACATACAGAAGCTGCTTACTCATACAACTAGGCCATGTTGATAAAATACACAAAGCAAATTTAAAATAGTAAATATCAAAATGAAAAAAACAAATATTTACCTGGAGTCTGGTGAGATCTCAGAGGTAGGTATGCTGAAAATATTTTCAGGAATATCATTTATGATAAAAGAAACTTCATTTGAATTAATTGAAGTCTGTTCTTGAATTTCAGATTTCTTTAAGTCTCCCTTTTCCATGTTCTGTTCAAAAAGCACAACAAATTTTAACATGAATTCTAGCAACTCCAGAACTTACATTTTATTACTCAGAACAAAGGAAGGTAAAGTCAACAGTTTTAGTAATAGAGTAAATTAAAGGATTTTAAAGAGGAAGGGAAAAGAAAAATCAAATACTGAGATCTTGAAGCTATTATTAAAATTATTTCTTTATGTAACACATGGCATTCAATTTATATCCCAAGTTTCTACCAAAGGAAACTAACCAAACTAAATAGTCTAGATGCTAATTCAGGACGATTTTCTCTCTTCAAACTGAACTGTAATTAGCATAACAAATTTAAATATTCTCTTCAGGTAGTCAGGTGTTTTTTGATGTAGTCATGGGACTGTACATGTTTTTAAACACAAGCACTCATTAAATCCTTTTCTTTTCTGATATTATCTTTTCTGTTTTTTCTACAATTGTTTTATTGCTGGCAATTGTGTATTGCTACTGATCCTGGAATATTTCTTATGAAAGGTGAGTTACATCTGGAAATAAATACAGTTAGCATATCCACTAGATTTATATGCACATTAAGGTTTTTATAGTAGATTTGCTTAGGACTAAGGTATTAGAAATTGTACAATATTTTGCCCCTTTATCCATATAATCCAACAGAGCATATTATGATAGATAGTCCTTGACTTATGACCCCACTATTGGGACCCGAATTTTCATTCCTAAGCAAGGCAATTAGTATCATATATAATGAATGGTTAACATTGATTTTACTTGTAACAATTACTTGTAACTGCACAGCATTAAGTGCTGTACCTTTGAGGAAGTAATGGAATTGAATATTTTATTGGCCAAGTATAAATGGACACACAAGAAATTTGCCTCTGGTGCATAAGCTTTCAGTGTACATACAAACAATAAGGGAGCATGATCATAAAATACCAATAGGAGATAATAGTAGAAAAGATGAGAAGGATAATAATAATACAGCCATACTACATGGGTAAGTATCCTTGGACATAATACAGTATTTTGGTAATTATGTTTGGCAGAGTGATGAAATGAGGGCTTAGTTGTTTCGGCATGCAATGCTCTATAGTGGTGTCCTGTGGGGAGAAGTTGAAACAGTTTATGTCCAGGTCCAGTTTATGTCCAGGTCTGTAGATATTTTCTCAGCCCTCTTTATGACCTGTGCAGTAGCCAGCTCCTCAGTGGAACGCAGGCTTATTGCTATTATTTTTTCTGCAATCCTAACTATCCGTTGAAGTCTGCACTTGTTCTGTTTGGCTGCTGTACCAAATCAGAGAGTTATAGAAATACAAATGACAAACTCAATAATTCCTCTGTAGAACTGAATGGCAGTCTGAGCTTTCTGAGTTGGTGCAGGATGAACATTCTTTGTTGTGCCTTTTTAATGCCTGTTCTAATGTTAGGTGTCCTTTTCAAATCCTGGGAAATTACAGAGCCCAGAAACTTGAAGATCTGTTGATAGTGTTGTATAATATTATAAAGGGTGGTAGAATAGGAGGGCTCCTCCTAAAATACACTTTCATTTCTACAGTTTTAAGTGTAATCAGCTCCAGACTGCTCTGGCTTTATCATGCGACCAGTTGTTCAACCTCCCATCTGTATACAGACATCATTTTAAATGAGACCATGACTATTGTATCATCTGCAAACCTCAGTATTTTAACTGAGGGATCCTTTTGAGATACAACCACCGGTGTAGAGAGAGAAGAGAAATGGAGAGAGCAGAGCACATAGTCCTGGCTAACTGAATTGGTATTTGATCTGATTTTACCTACTTTCACCTGCTGCTTTCTATCTATCAGAAAGCTTATAATCCATCTACAAGTGTGGACATGCACAGCTACTGAGTCAGTTTGGAGTGTGACCAAGGCACCTAGCATCAGCAGTTCCATCAATCTTTGGTTATCATTATAATGTGAGGATCACCTAAGCCAAGCAAGGACCTCACATGAGCAATTTCCTGACTGATTTTACTTGTGAGAAACCTGCAGGGAAGATCTCAAATCATGATATGACTGAACATACTGCAGCAGTCAGAAACCTGGGCCAGTTGCCAAGTGCCGGGATCACGATCACATCTGTGAGGATGCTGTAAATGGCTGTAATTGAGGGTCAATTGTAAGTATCATTTCTTCAGTACCAATTTTACTGTATTTAAGTACGACGACAATAAAGTACAATGACAATAAAGATTATACTTATATTTATACCATTGCAAATTCAGTCACTGAAGAGAGTGGTTGTTAAATGAGGATCACCTGTCATAAACTAACGCTAAAAAATCTGGGTCAATTTTAAACCCTGGATTTAATACACATTGGAGTCATTTTGTTGTTGTTTTTACAAAGGGTAGGTCATAAATAAATAAACTCCATACAGTCCATGTTCAGTCACCATTTCGTAATAAATTGAGTTATATAAGTAATATAAAAGGCTGGCTTAGATTCAATTCATCAGCACCAATTTTGGTCCAGAAATAATTAAATCAATATCACACTAATTCAATTCTATTTTGCATTATCAAAACTCATCAAGTACTTGGTAAAATAATTTCTAAGTATACTGGTTAAAAAACGTACCATTTTATCCTTTATGGACTCAGATGAATCATCTTCAGAATAAATACTTGTAGTGGAATCAATATATTGCAAAGGCAATGTTCCAAGTGATCCATCAGTATCCTCCTAGTTAGAGGACATAAAAACATATTCAACTGAATGCAATTGCCATTTACATAAAAATACAAAATTGGAAATGGAACATATTTAAACTTTTTAAAAGATTTCTTTTTTTCTTTACATAGTTTAAATTTGGGATTCACAATTTAATTGGATTTGGATACACATTTTTTTCCCTAAAGCCTCTCAAGGCCAACATTTCAGTATCAAAGCTAATATTATAGTATCATATCTTAGCTCTTCCTCACTGTTACTACTGATTTACCTGCCCATGGGTATAAAGCATCTGCGACTGATCCCTCTGATTTGCACATTAAGTAAACATTTCGAATGGTCAAAACACCCTCCAAATTGTAGCCACACTGCTTATCTATATCAAATTGTGCTGTGTACAAAGTTTGCTAAACCCTAGAATCAGGATGTGCTAATCAACTGTTCTGCATTTAATCAAATGCCAACATCCTTTTTCTGATTCTACAGATTTTGATCTATAACCAAGCATATACCCTGAATAACCAACTCTTTGATCTTATACCATTAACAGCAACATTATTAAAGTTTGTTAGCTATTTTAATTTCATACTGCTTACTTCAGAGTTGAACTTGCAATAACTTCATGAGTACAAGATAAAAATAATTGACAACATAAATCCGTACATGGTTTTACTATTACCACTTTTGCAGTTATACACTTCTCTCCAATACAATATAATTTTCCAAAAAAATATGCAAGAACTAGCATTTTATTCTTTTAAAATTATCAGCTGATTTAAACCAAGCAATAATTTTTGGAATGACTTCATAAAATAAAATGAGTTATATCCGAAGCAGCATTAATCTCAGAATATTAGTCTTGCTTCTCTTATTTTAGCCATGTGAGTTTGTGCTTTTTCAAAACAAAATTCAACGATGCTCCAGGAAATGTACAATATAAAAATACTATTTCCTATTCCCCCAGTCCACAAGAAAAACTTGAGAGGGACACCAAGAGCAAAGTTCTTTAGAAAGTTCTTTCATAAAATCCAGCTGAAAATGCAATTCTTTAACATAAATAAACAAATGAATTATAAACCTTTAACTCAGTTTTAGAAAAGTATTTTTTGCTTTTATTTTCCTGCATATATTTATAAATTCCATTAAGGCTATTATTGTTATTTAATTAAAACACTGATATACCACCAAAATTTGTATCTGTTTTTATAGTTTCCTACCAAGTGGCTACATTAATTCATTAATAATTTGCACTAAAATAATTCCATATAGCCTATAAATGTTTACCTTCTCTTGGATGTTCTCATCCACATTTGACAAGTGAGTGTTCTCATTTGGTAAATGCAAAGATACAGATACAGGACTCTCTTGACAAAAGACATGCCAGCTGGGAAATCTGTTAAATAAACAAATAAATAATCTAAAATACAAATGGACTGAAATGCATTCACAAAAAAGATGGTGCTATGATGAAACAAGAACAGTGTGTTATCATTGCTAAATAATTTATTCTCTTTTATCTTCAATTTATATAGTTCTTTTGCTTCAAAAAAACAAACAAACCCCATTTACCAGTATAAATTTCGGGGGAATCAGAATTGCAATTTAACAAAAACAATGTCAACTTTGAACCGAACCTGGTAGCAGCCATTTTTCTGTTCCTCAGTTGCCACACAGACAGTTGGGGGAAGGGGGGTTGAGGTTGGAATGCCTTACTAAACACAACAGAGTGTTTTCTCCAAGGTCATCTCTACTGGCAACAGCTAAGGTCAGGGACGGAGTGCCTGGAGAGCCCGCCTATTAACCCAATTGGTCAACGTGACCTGTGATACTTTGGGAGGGGACTATGTAATTATACTGAAACCACAGGAAAGATTTAAGTTGGATTTCCTTCAGAGCTGTGCCAATATGATATACTCAATAAAGAGAATCTTTGAGGATTCTAGTCTCAAGAGTGGTTGCATCCATTACTTGGAACAATAACATTAAACCAACTCTTCTAAATGTATCTCGGGGTTCTGAGCCCCAGACGCCTACCCAACACCAGGAGGATGGAAAAGACTCAGGGAATATTGAAGATGAAGACGGGAAAAGCAACTGCTAACACTAGTGCTGACCCAGGCGGGGCTGCACAGCTGGCAGACCAGACAAGAGGGACAATCCTTCCACTGGTGACCAGGCCAAAGGTCCATGTGGAAAGGACCAAAAGGCTAGCAACGCAAAAGGACACCCTAACCTCCAAGGACCTCTATCAAGTGGAGAGGGAGACTTGGCGCAGGGTATGCCAAAGCAAAGTTCCCCCAGAGGTCTCCTCAATCGCTGGCCACCCTCATCCCAAAATAGAAGGCAAAAAGGACCACAGAGTGTGACCAACACAGGGAATGGAAGTACCTAACCGCCCTTCACAGCCCATCAGAAGAGCAGCTCAGGGAAAAATTTCACCACATAGAAACCTGAGGAGTGGAATCAATGCACCAACCTGGGGTGCCTGTGGTTACAGCGGCTTGGGTGGCTCAGCCGCTTCTAGCCTACTAGAGTCCAAGCCTAACCATGGCAGCCTGAGCAGCCAGCCTGTCTCCCCAGCCAGTCAAGGCAGTGAGCCTGAGCCGAAGGGAGAGTCCTCCCTTGGTAGACATGCCACCAATAAAGGCCATGTTTGATGGAGACCCAGAGAAGTTGGCATTATTCCTTAACCAGGTATGGTCTAAACTAGACCGCTATGCCCCAGTCTACCCATCAGACATTGTGATGGTGATTGCTGTGGTCACCAACCTAGAGGGGGAAGCCATGGAGTAGGTGACGAGGCTCCATGACAAAGATGCGCCAGAGCTGTGGAACATCAAAGCGGAAATCCAAGACCTAAAGCAGAGGGGCTGACCAGCGAAGAAGTATGTTCGGGGGCTCTGCAGAGTGGCTGGTAAGCTGAGGCAGTTGCCAGACCAACTGCTGGTCTGCCATTTCAAGGAAGGCCTGGACCAAGAACTACTACAAGCCTGAATCTTGTGGGAGTCCCTGAGCGGATGCATGATTCATACCAGATGGCCATAGCGCTGGACCTCGAGCTAAAGCAGTACAAGAAGCACAGAGTGCCCAAATCAAAGCCGAAGTGGAGCCAGAAGGCTGCCCACCATCCCTCCTTCTGCTCCGGCTGCAGAATGGAGGGAAGGGTTGAGAATATTGACAAAACAATGATGAAGTTTGAGGATAGAGCTCAAAAAATTGCAGAAAAATATGAACAAAGTGATAAGAAAATTGTTGACATTGACAGCAAATTGAGAGTGGAGGGAAATAATATGTGTGGAACACTGAAAGGAGAGGTCGGTGAGGTGGAACTCTATCTCAGACTTCAAAACATAGATGAAGAAAGGGGAGAAAATTTGGCAGAAACTATGAGAGTAATTTTGGCAGAAACACCAGTGATAACCAAAGGCAAACTAATGGAAGGAACAGATGGAGGGTTTCGACTCTTTACAAGATATGCAATGAATAACAAGTTGCCAAGAGAAGTCCACATAAGACTTATCAAGAAAACACTTAGAATACAGATCTTACAAATGGCAAGAGATATTGGACGGCACTACTACTGGAAGGATACAGGATGATGAAATAAAATGTCACAATAAAATTAAGTTAAATTTAGTTAAACTTTGAGTATTATGTATAAGACAAAATAATAATAATTATAGTCAAATAAATGATTAACAATGATAATAATGCATTTATATATACTAGATTGATAATAGAAAATTTTATATGAATTGTAAGTTTGGACTATGGAGATGATGTGGAAAAGCCTTTTTACAAAAGATAAACAATTCTATATAGAATACAAAGATGTAACACCATTGGATGAGTTCAGGATGATGTAATGAAATGCCATAATATAAATTTACTTTAAATTTAGTATGCTTTACATAAAAAGGATGTAATAATAGCTATACTCAATGAATGCTTAATAATCATAATTGTATACATATATATTAGATTGATGATATGAACAATGAAATATGCTGAAATGAAGAAATAATAGTGGTAGTCAAACAAATGAAGTACTATAATAATAATGTATACAAATATACTTGATTGACAATATGTGACTTTATATAAAGTTTAAGGGATGACTATGGAAAGGATACACAAAAACCTTGTAACCAATCGACACACTGTACGTAATGGCAGATGTTTTTATGTTACATGTCTTGTTTGTTTATGTTTGTTTAAAAATAAAAACTTTTTTAAAAAAAATAAGGCACAAGATACAATGTGCAAAGTATCTGTAGTGTATCCTAGAGCTGTTTCAAGATCAAAATAAAACATATAATTTTGTTCTGATTTTAAAACAGAACTTCATCATGGAGTTCCCCAACCTTTCAAGCTTTGTGGACCAGCAGGAGGAGGGTTGGATGGTTCCGCTCCAGCAGTGGGCAAACAAGCCTGCCTCTTGTGCAATTAGAGCGTGCGCGCACACACTCACCCACCACTTCCATGGCCCAGTTCCAAACCATACTAAAATCTTTTAAAAGGATTTTTGAACTTGAAACAAAAGACATATACTTTCAACAAACAACTATTCTGGTGGAATACAACCCGCTTGACTATTCTGGCAAAACATTTCAAGTGGTGCTGGAAGCAAAGTACATTCCCTGTTTTGAATACCCATATAAAGAAAACACTTCATTTGTTAATAATAGTCTTTTTGACCAACACAAGATCTGCTTTCTCTTCAAAACTTTATTTTAACATTCCTATCACAGAATTACAGTGTTTCAATTATCATGATTGAGTTTAATATATCATTTGAAAACTTGTACGTTTGTTTGTCTTTTAGCAATCCTGGTGGATTTTCATTATACTGCAAAAGTCCACAATACTGGATGCTTTGGTTCCATTGACTTCAAGGAGACTATGGTGAGATCTCTTATTTAAGAAAGAGACTGATCCATAACCCAATGATTTGGAACAATTATAAAATCTAACATATTTTATTCAAGAAATTAATGGTGATTCCCATCTCAATAGAGAGATGGTATCCAATTTATGTGTGATAAATGTGTCAATTTATCTGACACATTTCTATCCTGCATTTTCTCCAAGAACTCCAAGAGCCAGCTTGGTGTAGTGAAGTTACTGGCCTAAAAACCTGAAACTATGAGTTCTAGTTCTGCCTTAGGCATGAAAGCCAGTTGGGTGACTTTGGGCCAATAACTCTCATCCCAATCCACATCATAGGTTTGCTGTTTGGGGGGAAAAGAGGAGAAGGGAGGAGGATTATATATGTTCACAGCCTTGATTAATAAAGTAATAAAGGTAGGACAAAAATCAAATTAATAAACTCAAGGCAGCTTAATGGTTATCTCTCCTCATTATCACCCATATTCATCTCAGGAAGGCAGATGAACCAGTGCATAGGAAAGGTCTTTTTAAAATTTATTTGTCACGTTTTATTCTGTCTAAATTACTAAATTAACTAGATTGCTAGAGTCAAAACAAGTTCATAGTGTGGCTGTAGCACCTGATTATTCTGGACATAATAACAATAAAAATAATTACTATGGTTAATCTTCAATTTGATTCACAGTCTGGAACTGGTAAAAACTTAACTTAACCTAACCTAGGAACTAAGAGCTGTTAAGGTAGCACTAGAGTATATAAACAGTTCCTAGTAGGGCGATTTTTTTGCAAAATCAAGATATTCAGATTTAATAACTTTAGGATTTCCATGTATCTAGGCAGCCCTTTGAGTATTGCTTCAAGAGCTCCTACTACTATTGGTACAATCATTGATTTCATCCTCCATAATTGCTCAACTTCAATTTGCAAATCATGACATTTTGTTATTTTTTTCTAGCTGCTTCTCTTCAATTCGTGCATCACCTGGTATTGCAATATCAATTTTATTAAGACGTAATCTTCAATTCAATTCAGAGTTCAAGACTGGTAAAAACTTAACAGTTCCAATCCTAGCCAAGGACCTAAGACTTGTTACCTCTTAGGTAACATCTGAGTTCTGAGTAAGGTGATTTTTTTGCAAAGTCAGAATATTCAGGTTTAATAAGTTCAAAATTTCCATGAATCTAGGCAGTCCTTTGGGTATTGCTCCAAGGGCTCCTATTACTACTAGTACCATTTATTGTTGTTGTTGTTATATTTTTAATTATATCTGATGTTCAAAGAGTGCAGTTCCCCTTCTAAATCAAAGGGAAATTGCACTCTATTTGAACAATCAAGTACAATTTGAGTTTTTTTCTGAATTCTACAATGAAAAAGCTAATCATTGAGTTGGTCTAAAGAGCTTTTACCAGTTAAGACTGGTATCCACTCTGACCCTATCTGGATGAACAATCTTGCTTCATGGCCTTAGGACAATTATTTTCATGTCCTCTATATAGGACTACTTTTTAAAATTAATCTGGAAATTTGAACTATGTGCTCCCATAAAAATTGTTATATAAAGACAATGATGATGTCTACTTTATCACTTCATGTCATCATATAGCTTGCCAGTTTATTTCCAGAACCCAATTTAAAGTACCAAGCTTGCTTTTAATACCCCTTCCCATTCTCTCAAATTTAACTGTAAGTTCAAATGGCGTTCACCAATACTAAAAATCCAATCAATATGGTGTCTTGTTTATATATTGTCATAATATTTTAATGGTAAATCCAATTTTACGTGGTTTTTAAAATATTTATTTTAATGACTTGGACTTTGGATTTTTTTTACAACAGTTTGGAAAAATTAGAAAATCTAAGTTATAAGTCTTTTTAAAAAGTAAATGTAAAACTTATGTTTGTTCTCAAGATATTTTTTGCACAGAATGGTCACCACACTTCTAAAAAACTACACTTAGGATAAGCGCTCCACTTAGAATAAGAGTATGTCAAGAATAGAGAGTATCTTCCAGACATGTGATATCTATGACTGCAATCAATTTTAGGCAAGGTAGACTGCAGGACTGCACCTGACTGGAAAAGGCTGCCACATACAGCGCTCAACTCGTTTGCTTTAAAAAGTGTATTCCAAACGAGAAATTATTTCCAAGCATTTATTTTCTTATAAAATCAGGCACGCCTTTTAAACCATATGGATTGGTCTCTGATAAGTATGGAGAGATTTGGAAAGGAAAAGTCTGGTTTCAACGTAACACCTGGTCAAGCAGAAGTTAAAAGGATGGCAGGCATTTTCTTTACTTCTGGGGCACATACCGAAAATAGACACTATAAAGTTTGGTTAAATTAAAATTTCGCTCCAGGAACTAGAAGATGTAGAACTGGACAAGGAGAAGTTTTAAAATAATCGCTGTTCGATTATGTACGGAAAAACAAGGGGCGCAGATGTGAAAGAAGTTTCCGGGACCAAAGACTTATCTCGCTCTTTCCGACCATTTCTAGGCTCCCGGGCGGTCAAATCACTCACCCAAGCAAGCAACTGAGGAGGAAGGAGGCCGCCAGTATCAGAAGGCGACGGGGCAGCACCTCCTTCATCGTCTCCTCCGTGCACTTTTTCGGGCCAGGGGGTAGCGACGCATCCTTTCGGTGGCTGCTGCTGTTGATTACGAGACAGGGGCAAGCCGAGGAGGGACTTCTCATGGGACGGGACGGTAGCAGGCGCGTCGGCAGCCGTCCACAACCCCCTCACTCTCCCGCTGCTTTTCCCAAACTAAACCAGTAGCCCGTCTTCTTCGTGTGCCGTCGCGTTGAGGTAGAATGTGACGCGTCAACCACAGAAACCTTAAGGAAGGGGAAGAGAACGCGACGAGCGTTCCGCGCCTGCGTACTGAAAAATTACCCAAGCCCCACCTAACTTCCTCCGAAGAGCGTGGCCCAACCGCCCGGCTGTAGCAGTGACGTTTCTCTAAAAAGACGATAACTAATTGGCTTCTGCTCTAGGAATCCGCTCTCTTTCTGATAACGTCAGGGGCGTGGTTACAAGCAACGCCGGGGACGCAATTCATTTGACGTTAGGGGTTGAAAGGTAGCTGATAGGTTCGTGGGTTTTTAAAAAAAGATATTGTGGCAAAGTGCGAGGCAAATGGATCTTTTGATACATCGGGGACTAATTCAATTTCTTGGCTTGCTTTAAACATTTTGTCTAAGTGGAAATTAGAATTGCTACCAGGGAGGCCGAGATAGATTTCTTTTTTGTGGCCTTTTTGAATCCTGTTGCATTCTTCAGATCCAGACCCATCTTCACATCGCAGGTTGTTGAAAGCAACAGGCCAATTCTGTTTACCATATTCACAATTTACTTATTTATTAAGTTTATTATGCTGCTCCACTCCCAGGGACCCTGGGTAGTTTACAGAGGATTTAAAACATGAGAAGCTGACAAATTTCACCCTGAGTTGCACAGGATAGACCTTTAGCAGCCTCCTGAAGCAGATTTGCCTGTAAACTTATGGAGTGAATAACACCGCTTCAGTTTTTGGAACCAGCCTTTACTGGCAATGATAGCGTTTTCTACAGCGCTGTTGGTATGAGAAGTGCTTAAATCAGATTGTTGTAAAGAACAATCGCCTTAAGCAAAATCTTACCTATGTTCACTGTACATTTTCTTTGTGCTGGTCTTAAATACAAATAAACAGTTCATTCTCGATTTGTTGGAACGCTATGATGTATCCAAGTCACAAATTTAGCAGTAGGAATTCCACCACGTTGCATTGCCTCTGATCTGTTTCTTGTTTCCTTGTATATCTGTGGAACTTTATTGACACGACAACACACAAAAATCATACCACTTTGCATTGCCTCTGATCTGTTTCTTGTTTCCTTGTATATCTGTGGAACTTTATTGACACGACAACACACAAAAATCATAAGGTGTCCTAGTCAATTTCAGTTGCGTTGATTTTTAGTATAAATTTTGTGAATGAAAAAATGAATCCATGAATATAGATCCTGCAAATATGGACACTTAACTGTATTGTTAAAGTGCAAAAGTCTATGAGTTCAATTCTTAGTAAAGGATTTGAAGTGAACCCTATAACATCTGTATACTTATGTCTGATGAGTTCTAAGATGAAACTGGTTGCATAGTGCCTACCTTTGTTGATATAACTA